CATAAAGACCTTAAATAGATCTTAAAGACCATAAAGCACTAGGAAATGGTTTCATAAATGGAGAGTTGATAAAAAAAGGAGGAAACTTTTTACACCAAAAATTGTATATCATTCTGAGAGTATGGCAACAACAGAAAATGCCTAGAGAATGGAATGGAAGCGTTATAACTCCCATATATAAGAAAGGAAACAAAGAACACCGAAACTATAGGGGCATATCGCTTATTAGCACATCATAAAAAGTGCTATCAATTATCTTGCTAAAGATAATTGACTATAAGCAATTATCTTGCGACTACCAATGCGGATATGCATGTCTGCATAATTTAATCATATAATATAAATTAATATCATATATCATAAGAAACAAAAAAGAAGAAGAAGAAGAAGAAGGAGTACAACAATGGGAAATATAAGCGCAAGATAGTAGAGGATGGAGGGCGATAGTGGATGCGGCGAAGAATCACTCCGAGCCAGTGAAGAAGAAGAAGAAGTGTGCTTATGCATAATCGGCATCTTTATTTCTTTATTTTCGGCTGTATATGATATCAGAAGCCAAATTAGCAAATTTAATATAGTTTATTTCGTCCCGTACAGTAATTTGAAAGTGCATGGACCACATATTTGCACTTTTCTTGATCGTTTTATTCATTTTATTAAACCAGATGCCAATAAAACACACACACACACACACACATATTCATTTATTCAAGCTCATGATTATTGCAGTTATATATACTTACCTAAATATTTTGTAAAAGAATCCTTTAAATTGGATACAAAACCAGTAACTCTGGACTGCAATGAGTTCGTGTTCGTTAAAGATAGACTACTAGCTACTTGATCGGTACTACCCTCTTTCGGAAGTTGCTCTAAAAGTTAAAAAAATGAATTGATCCGCATTTACAGATCTGTATGTACAGAATATACGTATGAGCGAATAAACAGAGGCACTATACGTAAAATCATTAACTGTCTTTCCTTTTATTTCGATATACTCTTTATGAGTACAAAAAACCAATTCGGCAAGGATTTTTGCTTAGTTGGGGAGATATGTTGTGGAATGCAATTTTAGATTCCCCATTTATCTCTTTACATCTTTAGTAAACTAGAAAACTTCGGATTTCTAGTTTTGTGATTTGTGTAAAAAAATAAATATTTACAAAAAATGAATATAAGTGACATTTGTGCACGATTCGTGTTATACACACTATTTATTTGCAACTTCTGCAAATTCTTAATCCCATGCCAAAATATTCTCTCGCGAAATGGGTTAATACTATATGGTATATACCAGACTAAAAGTGATACAATAGTGACACAACAATCCGAAACATATGACGAGATAATCCTTAGACATTATAAGATTGACGCGTAAGCTAATGATCTCCACACAAAATTGAATTAATGAATGAAACTAAAATAACAACACTTATATTTACCTTGTACATATCGTTCCAAAATTTCGTTCATTAAAGGCTGAGGTTTGGGATTGCCCGCGTTTTCACAATTATTCTGTTCATTGGACGCCAAAGATTCGTAAGTCATAGTATCCGAGTTTTCTGAAACTGGTGATTTATGAGCTTGTAATGCCATTAAATCGGATTCAGTAATTTCTTCGAAACTCTCGGTATCAGAATTGTCGTTACTGTTAGATACCTGTTTCATATGAGGATCCGGACATGCGTAGGCTGAAAAGAAAAACCTTTTGCATTACCTTAGTCAATATTTCAACTTTTACGTTCTTTTCTATTTAAAGTCGTTATATACTTTCAGGTTACACTGATGATGGAATTTACATTCCGAAAATGTTGTGTAATGTAATTGTGATATAGCTCGTTTGGGTATTTTATTATATACCTTTTATAAAGGATTTCAAATAAATAAAATTTTGTGATACATGGCATACAGCCAGCTACAGGAACTTAGTTTCCTAGTGGATTTTGAAAAGAAAAATTTTAAACGATAGTCCAAAAAATAAATAATTGATATGAGGTTGAATGCTCGAATAAATGATTTTAAGGCAATTATCAAGCACAAGTTTAACTAAATCTTGCCCAAGTACTTTCGCTATGCTGGATAGCCCATATTTGACGAAATGCCCCTGAAGATGCTATATTAAACGAAAGTACTTGGACAAGATTTGATTAAACTTGTGCTCGATAATTGCCTTATTTTTCAAAGTTCAAAAAATAAATGTTAAATTAACCTCTGAGAAATTAAAAAGTTCCATTCTCCACCAGATGAAAGTGTAATTAAATCTTAAAATCTGGATGGCAATATTTCCGATATTTTATCTGTTGTAATAAAAGTTAATATATTATCGAGTCCCCCTGTATATAAAGCACCATCCACTGTACTATGTAGAATCTTGGAATATTCAAATGCTTTTTGTCAAATATATTAAAGCTATATGGGTTTATCTATTTCTCTGCACTCGTTTTTTCCATTGCAATTGTGAATGTGAAAATATTATCCATAGTTGAGTGTCCGGCCCTAAATCCCGCTTGTTCTTCGGGTTGTTCGTCTTTAATATAATTTTCTATCAGGTTTGGTAGTACTTTTGAGTATAGTCGGTCTAGAGTAGCAATCACTGCGATCCCTATATAGTTTTTAGGATCCGTCTTTGTGTCTTTCTTGTGTATTGGAGAGATATACGATTGTCTCCATTCTTCTGGAACTTCTTCTCTGTTTAAGAATCTTTGGAATAATTTTCGGATCATTTCAAACAGTTTTGATGATCCATACCTAATCAACTCTGGATGTATTCCGCCTGGGCCTGGAGATTTTCTTAATTTCATTCCTTTAACTGCTTCTTTCACTTGTTCTATTGATATTTCTACTCTTCCTTCTACTTCCACTTGTTCATTTGTCTGTTTAAACCTTTCTCTTCTCTTTAATAAGTTCTCAAAATGATTACTTAAAATGAGTTCTCAAAATGATCAAAAAGTATGACTTGGTTTTTTGTCATGGTTCTCATCGTTTTTATAGTCTCCAGACTTCTTTGTCCCTTCTATATGGTTGTGTAACGATGAGTCCAAGCCATCACCGTTAAACCAGCGTGCGCGCGAACCAACCCATAAAGTAGGAGTATATCGACAGTAGAAAGGGCAAAACTAATTACCAAGCTCCGCTATATAAACCGCAACATTTCCTCATAGAGGGGAATCGACAGGTGTTGACTGAAGGTTCTCTTCTTCCCTACCCCGGCTTGTGGACGTGTTGAGTTCCCAAGTTGTTCCGTCCCATACCGCCGTTACCCGAAGAGCGTGTTGAGCTCTTCACTACCCATACTCTAAAGCAGTCGTGTTGAGACTGTCGAGGAGTGTCCTGTTAACCCGAATCACTTAAGGGACGTGTTGAGTTCCTTTCCTTTCTTTGTACCTATCGTCCGCTGTTATTAAATCGATACAACGTTCCCGTAAAATTTCAAATACACATTCGCTTGCCGATAAAACTAATTTCATATGACAAGGTCAAACTTAATTTGAATAAATAGGCCAGGTACTGAGAAGACTAAACCAAATTGTAAATATGTACATAAGATTTTTGTCAATTTAATTTAAGGAAGACAATAAAGTTTTATTTTTGTTTTGAACTCTGTCTCTGACTGTCTAAAAGCTACCCGGATAGTGACTCCTACGAGAGGACATCACAGTTGTCTAGGTATTGGCATTTTTGTTCCCATGCACTATTTTTCTTTTTAACCACTTCTCATTTGACTTTTCTATTTAAGTTTTTATATTGTTGTTTTGTTTTTTCGTCTCCCTGTTGTAATAACTTTTGATATACTTCCTTCTTTCTTTTTATCTTTTCTTCCGCTTCTTTATCCCATCAATATGGTTTATCTACTCTCCGTACCTGTGGCCTTAAGGCTTTTAGCGCTGCGTCTTTCATGCAGTTTTTTATATATTCGTATTCATCCGTCGTTGATCTATGTGATTCCTGTAGTTTTTGTGTTATTCTCCAGGAGTAAAATAACTGTGTGCTCTCGTTATCTAGATTGTCTAAGGTGTACGTAGTTCTTTCTATTTTTTCTCTGTGTTCTTTGTTGATGTCTGTGTGGTTCCTGTCTACGAATGGTGTATATATTTTTCCTATTATCAGGCAGTGGTCCGAGCCGCACTCTACTCCTCTATTCACCTTTACGTCCTGTAGTCTTAACTTAGTTTGTTGTCTTGTTATGAAATAATCTATTATCGATTTTAGACCTCTTGTGTGCTGATACCAGGTGTATTTATGTATGTTCTTGTGGGCGAAAAAACCATTCAAAATCTTTAACTCACATTGTTGGCATATATTTATGAGAATTTCTCCGTTGCTGTTAACAGTTTCTTCTCCATGCATGCCTAACACTTTACTTTGTACTTGTTTTCCTACTCTGGCATTAAGGTCTCCTCTGCATGTAATCTCATGGCTGTTAGGAATTCCGTTCAGGATTTTTCTAAAGTCTTCTTCAAAAGCTTCCTTTTCTTGTATTGAGTAGTCATCATTTACGGCATATACCCCCAAAATTGTTATTTGTGTTCCTCTTAAGAGAATTGTCACTTTAATAAAACGTTCGATGTATGCTTCCCAAAATTTAATATATTTTTCGAATTTATCTAATCTAATTGAAATAATTACTGTAAATTATTCATTCCCGCGAGATATTTGATAAAATCCAGAACTTAACATCAAAAAGTAAACAATTACCTTTTAAACACCTCAATAAGAACCCAAATGGTATTAAAGGATCCATCATACACAGAAGTCTCGCTGGTGACGGTATGTAATGTACTAAAGTAGGTACGTATGCTATAAATAACCCAGCCATTGTAGGAATATTCTCTTTGATACATTTTAATGTTGTACTAAGTAATAAGTTAGCTCCTGCAGAATCTCCTGCTCCGATAATAATTTCACCTAAAACAAACGAAGAGATTACTTTTGTTTCAAATACAAATAATAATAATATCCCATTTTTAGATTATCAACAATTTTTCTCTGAATTGTTCCTATTACTTTTTCATGTAGCCTTAAGGCTCTTTGATTCGTTGTAACGGAAATTATGTCTGGATGGAAAGAAAGGAGCTTCAGAAGTTGTGTATTACTTTGGGCAATAAAAAAATAACCCATAAATATTCATAAATAACGTACCTTAGCGCAGTTATCGATATAAAATACGCCATTTAAAAGGATAACGTTTAAGCAAATGCCAATTTATATATGTTCAATTCTCCAAATTCCGGCGCAGTAGAGAACATATACAGAAATAAGCCAGCTAATAGCGGGGAAAATACAAATATAACTAAAAATTTAATTTTCACAGGCCCTTTCACACTAATAATTGAAAATATTTATTATTGAGCATTAATTAGAAATTATTTTTGTAAAATATACTTTAAATTTATGTATTATAAATACATTACTATAGCCAAGGGAAAACATATATTACCTGTACTTCCCAAAAAATCATGATGTTTCTTGGCCCAACAATAAGCGTAAAGGACTTCCTCTAAGGCTCTCGGAAAAGGAGCTTCAGGCGCTAAACTGTAGTCGATGCATAGTATGGGAATGTCCAATTGTTTCGCCCAATCCCTGAGGTATCCGTCGTGTGATTTTGACGATTGAGCTACGAATCCGCCGCCGTGACAGTGAATCATTAGGCCCTTCGAAGGTGGCTCCACTGAGGACCTGCCTTTGGTTCCTAACATTCCTTCTCGGACCTTGTGGCTTATCAATCGAACTTGTACTGATTTTCGACCTAAAATACAAAACGAAATAGTAATTATCCAATGGTACTCATATTTTAAGGTAAGCCGGAAGTCTCATGACCACCTACAGATACGAGAAACATCAAAACCTTCGATGACTAATTGATCATCACCACGATATAGAAATCCCGCTGAAGACTGTTGGGTTTACTATTAATTCTTGTAATAGTAATAATCTTAGCTCTAGGTTTAATTGTACTAACCGCGGAAATCTTTCGGAACTTTAGCCTTTATGGGGCTAAAAAAATGACAACAATGGAAGAAAAATAGAAACTATGATGGGAAGCAAAATAGAAACTATCTTAAATAATCTCAATTTAAATCTATTTAATGACGACAGGAATACTCGATATAATGCAGCAACAGGAGAATTTTCAGCAATTGATTTGTCAATTTATGAACCAAGCTTGCAACCTAGTTTATTGTAGGACTCTTTACCTGATCTATATGGAAGTGGAAGTCTTCATCAGCTATGGATCTTAGAGAAATGTTAGACTCAGAACAAGATATTAACGAGAAAAAATCCTTTTTTATTAAGTCATCATTGATGCAGCGAATAAATCCATTGGAAAAACAGCTTTTCATCCAAAACATTCACCTGAACCGTGGTGGAACGATGCGTGTAAACAGGCAATAAGAGAATCTAAATCGGCTTTTAATAGATATAAACGATATAAAACTACTGAAAAAATCATTTGGAAATTAAAAGAATACGAGCTAAATGTAGATTTATTATTAAAAAAAAGCAAGCAAAAGTCATGGCAAAAGTTTGTTTCAGAAATCAATAGATCTACTCCAATTGGTCAAATCTGGAACATGATTAGAAGTACAACTTGAAAAAAATAAGATCACTCTATAAAGTACTTAATAAAAGACAATCAGACATTTACGTCCGAATGCAATATATCTAAAATAATGACAAATCAATATTGTATCGCTAGTGATGAAAGCTATTTAATAGAATTCTTAAATAAGAAACGATTCGAAGAAAACAAAGGGATACCGTTAATCAATGACACTTCACTAACAAACAATCCTATAAGCTTTAATGAACTTATTGAAACTCTTAACTCCGTTAGAAATACTAGTCCAGGACCAGATAACATACCTGTGCTTTTTCTACAGAACTTACCACTAGTAGGCCAAGAACTATTATTGCAACTTTAAATATATGGATCAATAAGGTATTCCCATAAATATGGCACTCGCCAATCCTAGTTCCAATATACAAACCAGGTAAACCTAAATTTGAAGCAGAATCCTATAGACCAATCTCTCTCACGAGTGCAATGTGTCTAGAAAAGGTCATTGCCAATTGACTCATGTGGTATATTGAACATAAACAACTTATTATACCCAAACAAAGTGGATTTAGGAAAAATAAATCAACATTAGGTAACTTAATATCATTGGAATCAGAAATTCACTAAGCATTTATATGCAATCAAGAATGTAACATGTTTGCTTTTATTTCAAACTTTCTACAGCAACGATATTTCCAAGTTCGAATCAATAACCATTTGTCTGGACCTAAATTACAGAAAAATGGAATTCCACAGGGTTGGAATCTAAGTGTATCGGTATTTTAAATTGCTATTAACAATGTTGTGTCGTACTGCAATGGCACAATTAAAACTTTTTTGTACGCTGATGATCTGGTAATTCTAGAAAGAAATAAAAACATATATTATCTGCTCATAATCGTATTGCTGCAGCTCGTGGTCTAACAATATTGGGCTCCAGTTTTCCACCACAAAAACAAAAGCTATACATTTTTCACGAAAATCAAATCCATAAAAGCTCCCAAATCTATTTTTATACAATTCTCCTATAGAATATACAAAAGAAATAAAATTCCTAGGGATGCAACTGGATTCAAAATTAAGCTGGACGAGTCATATTATACTCGCTAAGACTATCGTGCCAAGCTGGACTAAATATTATGAAATCTTAATCCACAAGGAAAACAATTCCTGTAGCTGGCTGTATACCACGTATCACAAAAAAAGAGGTTAATCTTTGTAAGTGGGTATATTTATTTAAAAACCCTTAAAAGGGCTACATCAAAAAAACAAACGTTTTCGGACTAAACAGTCCATCATCAGGTTTAAAATCTGCCTAAAATAAGTAAAAACCATTTAGTTAAAACAAACGTTATGTTAGATTAGCATAAAATACACTTTTAGACCATATTCCATACGACAAAAAGCAACATAGGTTGCCTAATACACAGGTCATCCTCTCAAACATGACTTTAACACCATTGGTGATTTCACATCGATTATAACCCAAATTTTAAATCCCAACACCTATATTGCTGTTATTATTTTTAAAATCAACAAAAATAATTTTTGAATCTTTTGGCTGTAGTAATACTAGGTATAACTAATATAGTTCTATGTTAAATTGACATTTTTGTTTTTGACACCTTTCATAGGTATATTGTAAATCAGTTTCCAGCTGTTCTCCGTGCGTAGAGGTTTTCTCCCCGGCTCTGGAACTCAAAACTTTTTGCAATGTATGTTACCTGAAGTCATATTTAATTTAATAACAAACATCACAGTTTTTTAAACAACAAGATGTATAATCTTTGATAACTATAAGTAATTTAAAGGGTTTTTACCCATGTATTTTTGATGGCTCAGGCATTTTAACCTAGTAAGTATAGCCATTTTGCTTTTTTAACCATAGTCAAAATTTCATAATCACGTTTGTTTTAACTAAATGGTTTGTACTTATTTTAGGCAGATTTTAAACCTGATGATGGACTGTTTAGTCCGAAAACGTTTGTTTTTTTGATGTAGCCCTTTTAAGGGTTTTTAAATAAATATACCCACTTACAAAGATTAACCTCTTTTTTTATTATGAAATCTGTATCACATAACAATTGGGAAGTAGATTTTCCAACTCTAACAAATTTATATAGAGCTTTAATTAGATTCAAACGGACTACGGATGTGTTGTGTATAACTCCGCAAACCAAGCATTGCTCAAAACTTTGGATACTCTTCAGAGTTCAGCCATTAGACTTGCTCTTAGAGCATATTCCACCAGTCCTGTGGACACTCTACTCTGTGAAGCTGGAGAAACACCCTTAAACCTAAGAAGAAAATACTTAACTCTATCGTATGTATCGAATATAAAATCTAACCCAAAAACTCTATTATGTAATTGACATTTTGTATATGCCTATGTATGTCTTTATCACTTCTTGTCATTTCTTATGCTAATAACCCTAAGTGGTTGAAGCAAAATAAAAATAAAGAATAACAATTTATAATACACACAAACATATTGTTGTAACACTATTTGCAATATTTTGACCTAAAATCTAATAGTTAACTTTTTTTAATTAATCTTTGACACACATTAAGATACAATAATTATTATTATTGTTTTACCGCCAATTAAAATGTTTTAAATATACAAAATAACGGAACAAATATTATTTATTTCGCTATATGTGAATTAGCATATTTGATTTAACACAATACTGTTACAAAGATATATTTTTTCATTTTAGTTTTTTTTGTAATTACTTGAATACTAGATGTTAGTTTAAGCAAGCGATAATGTAACATTTTCCATTTATGTTCTTTACGTTTCAATGTAGTATGTAGAGGATGGTGACTTGATTAAAATAATCATTTACATATGTAGGTACAAAGTTACAATGGCATTTAGATAAGTCGTTGTTGATTTGAAAATTTAAACAAAGACATTTACATTAAGCTTATGTAGTAATGTTTTACGGAACGTAATTAAGACAGTACATTAACCGATTTTTCATTTAATCATCGGATAATTTCTTAAATATTGATTGAATCCTTAATGTCGATCTGCGATATTCAAACATTCATTCATAAAATTAACTTACCAATAAACGAAGAAGGCACTGGTACTTCATAAGTATTTCCATCGATAGTTTCCATGACTATAGGTTCTGGAGGAATTTGTATCATCTTGGAAATGGCTACGCTAGGCGAAACGATAGAAGGCAGTTGGTTCATAAGTTCCGTCTCGGATAGAAACCAAAAAGCTTTGCAGAAGTCAACTTCCGCGTTCTGAGCAATATTTACAATTCTTCTGGCTCTTTGTTCCGGATCGGTTATAAATTTTGTCGTTGACACTACTGAACTGGTCGCTTTGCTAATCAATGATCCTATAAAAACAGAAGTGGAACTTGGAATTAGTTAACGAGACTGTTGAAAGAGCATGATGTGTAAAAAGAGTCGCGGTTTTATTTTTGTTTTGCTGGAGATCGGCGTGCACACATTGATGGAGATTTTATAGCAAGAGCAAAAAGTCATTTTCATTTCAAAAAGATATTTTGAAAAAAGTCATCTGTTAAACGATTTCATCTAAAATGCGTAGTTTATTCAAAATTTTGAAATGAATGAAAAACTCGCCTTTTTTGCTTAAATGTTAATAAAAAACTATAATGCAGTAAAAATGTCGAGACTGAGAGATGGTAGAATAAAGTGCCATAATATCGGATAGTTGCCTATTATCGGATAGTTCTGTTTTAAAAAAACCTGTAATCTGATTAACAAGAAACCTATGTCTAGTTTAGCATGAAGCTAAACCCAGGTCGCCGAATAATATTTAAGCGTCTCTAGTAAACCATAGAGGGCACTAGAGTCAGTTATCCGAATTTTTGCATTACGAGTTTTTACACGTGCTAGTCGTAAACGCACAATCAGGTAAGTTTTTAAATTTGACTATGTAGTTTAAGTTAAGGTCGATTCAAACACATCAGTCACGTCTCGTCACAGTCCCGGCGCCGAACCGAACAATCCGTCATACAAAATATTCTTTAATAGAAATATGGCGCCGACATTCACATTCATCAGTTGACGAACAGTTTCTCAGCAGTCAGATAATGAATAGTTCTGTGACCAGACAAGACCGGTTCGGCGCCGCGACTGTGACGGGACTGATGTGTTTGAATTGACCTTTAGTCTACTTTAATTAACTGCATGTTGACAGTGGATTACTAAGTTTTTTTAATCCATAAACATAACTTTCATAACAGGTGATAATTTGCCTAAATCAGATCGTCGCACTGTCTTAATATCAGATATCTGATATTAGGACAAAATATTTCTTAATTGTTTAGATAGAATATCTGCTATCATTTCTACGTAGTTAAGGTCGTGTTAACAATTACATCTTAATGTTTTCGTCGACAAAAAAAAAGAATTATGCTATAATTTTTGCACTATGTCTGCTTATTTTATCTCATTTCTTACTTTCTTACTTTCTCTGCTTTTTTTTAATCTTAGAAATAAAATATCATCGAAATAAAAAAAAAAGAAAGAAATGGGATAGTAAATCCATGCATACGGTCCAGACGGAATATACCCAGAAACGTTCAAATTAATCAGCGAAGAAAATATCGAATTATTTGTCCTTTTATTCAATCGCATTTATGATACAGGTAAAATACCCCAAGATTGGCTGGAGTCAATATTCATCCCACTACCAAAAAAGCCAAACCCACAACACTGCAATGAGTTCCGTCTGATAAGCCTTATGAGTCATACAGTAAAAGTCCTACTAAAAATCGTACATAATCGTATCTATAGAAAGTGCGAAACAATCATCGGAGACGATCAGTTTGGATTCAGAGTTTACTAATTCTCGCCCAAAAATGCTAAGACCAACAGAAAGATATATTTATATGCTTTATAGACTTCAAAAAAGCATTTGATAGAGTAAGACACGACCTACTATTAGAACGTTTGCAAGAAGTCGGTTTAGATGGAAAATACATCAAATTCTTAAAAAACTTGTACTGGAACCAAAACGCCAGAGTTAGGATCGAAGGTTCCACATCCGCAGAAGTAGAAATTAGGAGGGGAGTTAGACAAGGATGTGTTCTGTCGTCTCTGCTGTTTAATCTTTACTCCGAGTTTCTATTTAAAGAAGCATTGGAGGATTCCAAGAATGGAGTCAAGGTGAATGGCGTAAATATCAACAGTATCAGATACGCCGATGATACAGTGTTAATTGCGTATTCTGACTCAGGTCTACAACGACTCATCGACAAGACCAACTCGACCTGTGAGCAATTTGTACGAAAATAAACATTAAAAAAACCAAAGTGATGTCAATCCGAAAAAAACAAAACGTACCGCAACCTTGCACAATAAATGGGCACATCTTAGAACAGGTCAATAGATTTAAGTACCTGGGATGTTTAGCAGCCTAAATCCTGATCAAAAAATAAGATCGAGAATAGAACAGGCCAGAAAATCTTTCGAAAAAATAAAAAAACTGCTTTGTGATTCTCGAATAAAACTAGAAATTCGACTACGTTTATCAAAATGCTACGTCTGGTCGACTCTTCTATATGCAGTTGAAACGTGGACCCTTAAAACATCAACCGTAAATAAATTGGAGGCCTTTGAAATGTGGATCTACCGGAGAATACTCAAAATTTCATGGACATCGCATACCTCAAACGAAATAGTGCTGCATAGAATAGGCAAGGAAAGAGAACTTTTTAACACAGTAAAAGTTAGAAAAACATCATACCTAGGCCACATACTGAGAAATAATAAGTACCAATGTGCCCAACTTATAGTGAAAGGAAAAATCGAGGGAAAGAGAATCCTAGGAACGAAAAGACTATCGTGGCTCAGAAACATCCGATAATGGACAGGGCTAAATTTTGAACAGCTAATAAGAACAGCTGAAGATAGAGAAGAGTTTAAAATTGTAGTAGCCAACCTCCATTAAGAGAGGGCACTTTAAGAAGAAGAAATCCATGCATGCAGATGTTACTGCAGTTAAAATCAAAGAAATGGTGTACTTGTGAGCTTCAAAAACTTTGTATTCAAGAGCACGTTGGAAGACTGCGTAAAAAATAAAATAAAGTCACCTGAAGAACTTATTCAAACCAATTAGGGACGTCCACCAGTGTTTTCCAAAGAAATTGAAGCGGCTTTGGTCGATTATGGCCTACAAATGGATAGAAGATTTTACGTACTGCGATCTTCTGATATTCGAAGATTGGCCAATTAGCTATTAGGAACAATTTAAAACATCCGTTTTCAACTAATCAGAAGGGTTATAAATGGTTGCGTTCATTTTTAAAGAGGCATCCTGGATTAACGTTTAGGAGACCACAGGACTTATCAACTGCCAGAATTAAAGGATTCACAGAAGAAAACGTAAATATATTTTTTGAAATTTTGGAACCTGGGATGGAGAAGGTAAAATTTAATCCCTGTTGAGTCTATAATGTGAATTAATTCATGAGAGCACCCGTACACTATATAAGACTCGAATGGACTCCAAACTTGACGAAACACTAACAAATACCAAATGCATATATGAGAACATAATATCAATTATTCATCAAACAGCACAGGAGGTCTTAGGAATCAAACAAAATAAAGTTAGTAACAAGCTTTGGTGGAATGAAGAAGAAAACTAGAAAGCTAATGGACCACAGGAATGTGACGTCACGACTGTCACATTGACATTATTACTTTCCAAACAAAAGTTGAAATGTCAAATTTCAAGACTTTTTAATTTCTAGTTAACATTTTGCTTCCTCTGCTGTTTTTTCTTGTAAGCATAGTGTTTTTTACGATAATACCATCATAATTCAGAGTTCTATTTCTATGAAATATAGTTTAAAAGTTTAAATAAAGAAATTGTAACCTTACTTTATTGATACATGCATTTTATTGCTATTAGCATAAAACAATGTGCTTTATTATTTACACAACCTTGTAAAATTGTTGTAGTAACTATTAGAATACTTAAATATTGCAATAAGCGGAAAGATTCTATAAAATAAATGAAAAAATAACGAAAAATACAAATTATCCACACTAAACCAGGTTTGTTTTGGAAAGTGAAACTGACGTATGTCAGTAAAATCTACGTCATCACTCCTGTGGTCCATTATGACCTCCAAAAATGAGACATGGGACAGAAGGTGCAGAGAGATGGAATCTTGTATTGGAGGACAACAATGCACTGAGTCGTGGAAGTTTATAAACTCTATTAAGAAGCCGACTAACGAGAAAGTGATTCTAAAATAATCAACCTAAAAGTAAAAAGCAGGTTTCTGCAGAAAGAGGATCACTAGTGACTGTGGTTACCTGTATGAATGCGGCTGGTGGTTTTGTGTCCCCTATGGTCATATTTCCCCTAAAAAATATGAAGGCAGAATTGCTCAACGGCGCTCCATCATGGACAATAGCTGCCTGCCATGTGTCTGGCTGGATTCAAAGTCACATTTTGACCAATTGGTTACAGCATTTTATTAGCCACGTTAAACCAAGTGAAGTTGATCCAGTTGTATTAATATTGGATAGTCACTTCTCCCATACGCGGAACATTGACTCGATAAATTTGACACGCCAAAATCATGTGGTTATTCTTAGTCTGTCGCCGCATTCTACTCACAAAATGCAGCCACTGGACCTTGCTTTCATGGGGCCTCTTAAAACCTACTACTCGCAGGAAATTGAAAATTGGCTAAGGAACAACCCTGGAAAAGTAGTCACCTGCTATCAAGTTTGCGAATTGCTTGGAAGAGCTTATGTAAGATGTGCTACAGCTAAAATCGCTATAAATGGTTTTCGAAAGAGCGGTATCTGCCCATTTAATAAACACATTTTTCGAGAACACAACTTTGCCATCAAGCGGAAGGTGACCGAGTTCCAGTTCCAAATCTATCAGAGGCTGAACAAGAAAACCAAGTAACTCCTCCAAGAAATATTGATGCGACCAAATGTGTGGAAGATTTATCATGTAAAAATATTTCTAATAATAGAGATTCAACAGTGCCGCCACAAGATATTAGCCCTTTAGCCACCACTTCATTTTACAAGTCTAGTATTAAAGAAAGAAAGTCCAGAAAAAGATCTGCTGCCTTGATTACGGATACACCATACATTGGTTTGACCATACAAAGATGCCTTAGAAAGTAGTTTGTCAGAACCGAAGAGAAATAAAAGTATTTCAAAGGGAATTCCGAAATTAAAAATAGACAAATGTGAGCCTTTTAAGAAAACAAATAAAAATAGGGGACAATCTATTGTTAAGAAGACAATGACAACCAAGGTTAAAACGAAAAGTGCTAAGAAAGAGGAAGCTTTTAGTTCATCTGAAGAAGATGAAGAATTCATTTTAGATGATGATTCTGACATGGAGTGTGACATTGGGGAAGAGGAAGCAGAATGTATGTTTTGTACTGGACTCTTCTCTGAAGATACCTCGAGCGAACAACAGATTCAGTGCTCAAAGTGTTTTAAGTGGGCTCACACCGACTGCACCAATGAAGACAAAAAAGACATATTTGTGATTTCTGCCGCGATGGCTAATTTTATCCCGTTATCCTAATATCCGGTACAATCTTTTTGTCAGTCTAAATTTACCGTTTTTTATAAAAATTTAAATTTTATTTTTTACTTCATAGAAATGATTTATTTTCGTTCAATAAATGATATAGTCTATTACTTGTTTTGCTCTAAAATATGCGATATAAGGGCACTTTACTCTATGCCTTTTCTAGATATTCCAGTTAAAAAAAGCGCTCAGAAATTTTTCGGTTTTTCTTTTGTTGGTTTCGTTTCCTGTAATAATAATATTTCCTGTCCTACACAAATATACTTCATCTATAGTGTATTTTTTATGTATGAGAGAGTAATAAAACAATAAAATTATGTATGCAAATCCCTAAACTGTTGATACGGGTGACTCAATGAAAAACAGATATTTGTCAACAAGTTTACAGAAGTATATAGGAAAACAATTTTAAATTGAGTATGACCACCAGGTATAAAGGTTGGAGCAGAATAGAATACAATAGTTGTGAGGGTTACTAATCCCTAAATAAGGTTGCCAGTGTCGGAGTGATGGAGGTTAACAGGTACTAATGAATTTGCAAGAAATGTAAGAATTTATTTTATTGATTATATATAACCAATAAAAGTTTAATAAGTACCTACCTATTTGCAAAATAAAGTTTAATTCTTTAGATAAAATAAAACGTTTTATTTTATCTGAAATGAGTGCATTCCACGAAGTAAGGGTTTCAACAATCAAACATTTAATTCTTTAGTTCCAGGAATCTACGACAGTAATTGACTAGATAATTACCTTCTAAACTTATTCCACAGAAAATGTGATAGTGGGTTTTTTCATTTTGTAGGAAGGTCTAAGTGGCGTATTTAAAATTCTTAACAGTTCACTAAAAGTAGGTACTTCAGTTGCAAGGTGCAGTTTATCTGTGTATACTAGTGTTATGGAAAATTTGGAAGTGCCGTGTAAACGCCGAAAAATTGGTCCTTTAACAGTTAATGAAAAAACATTAATATTTAATTGTTTTAAATCATTTACAGACAAACGTTTATGTGAAAGTGTTGATGAGACCGTTGAGTTAGTTAGCAGTACACTTGGTGTTGGGAAATCTACGATTTATAGAGTTATTAAAGAAGAGAAATGTGGTAGTTTTCAAATGCCACGTAATGCTCCAGGGAAACCAAAATTTCAAATAGAATATCATTTTAAAGAAGGACTTCGACGGATAGTGCATGAATTCTTCTTTAGACAAGAATTTCCAACATTGGATAAAGTTCTTGTCTCAGTTCGAGATGATAAGGATTACCCAGAAATGAGTCAAAGTACGTTATGGAAACTTTTAAAAGAAATAGGCTTCCGCTGGAAAAAGAATCCCAGAAAGTCTATTTTATTAGAAAGAAGCGATATTGTCATATGGAGAAGACATTTTCTAAGAACCATAAAGGAAATGAGAAACCAAAAAAGAAAAATATTTTATCTTGATGAAACATGGATCAACGAGGGTCATACACCAAATAAATTTTGGCAGGATGAAATGTTACAAGTCAAAGGCACGCTTTTGTAAATAACTTATCTACTGGTTTAAACCCACCATCAGGAAAGGGACGCAGGCTGATAATAGTACACATTGGCAGTTTAGACGATTTTGTTGAAGGAGGTTTATTAACTTTTGAATCAACTCGTACCGGTGACTACCATGAAGATATGAACGCTGATGTCTTTCAAGAATGGTTCGAACAAATGATAGATCTTCTTCCTAAGAACTGTGTAATAGTAAAGAGTGAAGTTTCAAGAAAAAATACCACTTTTAAAATTCATGATGTTAAACAGTTGTTTTTGGAGGCCGTAAATAATGTAAAACCTGAAAACTGGGAAAAGGCAGTAAATCACACTATTAAAGAAGAGGAAAAAATGTGGAAGCTGGACAATATTACTGATAAAATGATCGAGCCAGTTATTATAAATCTTGGTTCTGAAAGTTCATCTTCTGAATCTGATTTGGATTTGTAACAAGTAGCTGTAAGTTTTATATTAATATTTTTATTCATCTATTTAACATACCTTAGACGGTTTTAAAAACTCTTTTTCTCTTTTGTAATTTTTAAAAATTAAAAAAAATGTGAATTTTTTAAAACCCTTTTTAATGTAGGCCAGTCAGTTCTAATATAGTGTGTGATAAAAGAGGTCACTTTTGTTTACATACACATAACACTTTATAACACTGAAATAATTCATTTATTTTTTACAATTATTCAAAGTAATTTTTCAATTAATCTTGAGCACGCCATGGAGTGGTCGAAGGTACCAGTTAAAATTATGCTAATTACTCTCTTGTTCATAAAAATAAACTATAGATAACGACATACGTCATTATCTACGTCAGAGATCGAAGTTGACATAGTTGCCAAAGTATAAAAAAATCCTGATTCCATTTTAAATCAAATAGATTACATAATTATTGCAAAAGTATTACCATCACTTTACAACGACTATTTAAATTCTTACGTGACATTTTTGAAATAAAACACACTAATTTTGTTCTAAAAAGAACAGATTTTTATTAACTAGTTCAAAATATAAAACAAGAGATACCTATTCACTTTAAAATTCAAAATAATGAAGTACAAAAAGTTTCAACACCGCAACTGTCAAATAAGTGTTACCAATTTATGCCAAAATTTTACCTTCGTTCGATTACAGTTACAGTGTGTTCCGAACAAATGTTCTTGATAAAAACGCTTTATAATGCATTTATACAAATTAAATGAAACATATTATTGTGTATTTCTTTAAGTTAACATTAATAGAAATTTTTAAATATTATTTCTACGCGTATATAATAAAATATGTCTAGTGGCTGTAATGCCAGTGTACTCGGTAAAGTGATTCTAAAAAAGAACACAACTACACCCCAAATATTTTGTGTTGGTATCATGTGCCGTCACAGGCTATAACGCCGATGACGTGCATCGTTATATAAATTAGATGAAGTGTATCAAATGTATAAAAGCATTTAGAATAAACGTGTTTATTTTTCTTAAGCTTAGAATGTTAATTTACAAATTATTCCGCTGTTTTTATCTCGCTAAATTGTGTTATTTTATCGAATGTTTATAATTTTTTATATAATTATCTAAATTTTTATATTTTATTTTGATTATATGAAAGGCGTTTCCTGATTTCTGTAAACTTATGATGTTACACGACTTACACGTGTTGATAGCCAAAAAAATTTAGATCTATTGACCTTGCACATAGAAATAAGATACTTTACCTTGGCTGTAGTATACTTCAGAAAACAAAGTCATTGATAAGGCGATGAATTGTAAGACATTCCGTATTGAATCGCAATACTAAAAATAAAATAAAATATGTTAGATTACTTAAAAAAAGTATGAAGCGATATACAGGGTATCTCGCTTTATACTTTTATTGGCATTGGTTAATAAACTGCTAACTTATTAGATGTTATTTCTTTTAAAGGAGCAAACATAGATAGTGATCACTATTTAGTTAAGCACGATTTAAAGAGGAAATATCCAATATAAAAAAAGAGATCGGGAGAAGGGGAGAAAAATCGACATTAATAAATTAACAGATCCCGACATTGCAAATGTATACAGACAGCAAATAGAAACAGAAAACTTAGAAGAAAATAAAAGACATTAACCAACTATTAGCAAATATACGAGAAATCTGTTGAAATATTGGCCACAAATAAAAAGAACGCAGAATATCAAAAAACCATCGACGCAGGTTGTACACGGAAAAAAAAAGAAGAGTACACACGTCTTAGAAGAGAGGAAAAACGTATCCATCGACGTAAGAAGAGGGAATACGAACAGTTTATTCGATAAAAATGAAACATGGAAATAATACAAATCCTTAAATAATAGCCGACGAAAATTTAAACCACGCTTAAAATTTGTAAGAAGGTTACAATATAGACAATCAACAAAATCTACAACGTCAACTACACAGTGAAGACCCAATAAGAGAAGTGTCAAATGCCTTCCTAAAACTCAAAGGCAATAAAGCCCCAGGAATCGATGAAATCTGATCGGAAATGTATAAAAGATGGTGATCAACTTTTTGCAGCAATCCATAAACTAATAGTACTTATATGGCAGAATGAATTGGTACCAGAAGAGTGGCTAAATTGAATAATTTGTTAATTGATTAAAAAGGGTGATCAACTAGAGTGTAAGAACTATAGAGGCATTACTCTGTTAACATCTGCGTATAAAATCTTTAGCAATGTATTGTTTGAAAGACTTAAACATTTTACAAATGATATTGTTGGTTAATATCAATGCGGATTTACTACTGGAAAGTAAACTACACATCAAATTCAAGCATATAGGCAGATTCTAGAAAAGTCGCTATAATATATCATAGATACACACCATATCTTCGTTGACTTCAAAGCAGCCTATGGCAGTGTGAAAAGAACTGCATTATATAATGCAATGATATACTTTGGGAACCCAGCTAAGATAGTTAAGTTGACCCAAGTAACAGTGCAAAACGTAAGCTCATGTGTTAGAATTGAAGGAGAAAACTCTACGTTCTTTGACATTAATAATTGTCTAAGACTGGGGGACGCGCTGACGTGTCTCCTCTTTAATATTGCATTGAAAAAGGCAATCAGACAATTAAATATTAAAATGAATGGAACTATCTTTAAAAGATCGACGCAAATTCTCGCATTCGCTGACGGTATAGTTATAGTTGGCAGAATTATAAGACACATGGTGCAGTGTTTTACTTGCAAGTAGCAGGCTTGCAGAAGCGTAAACGAGGAACAAACTAAATATGTTGGTTTCTAAAAACCCCCGAAATATCCCACAATTCAAACTAACAACCATACCTTTGAGCAAGTCAAATAATTCACATATATTGGATCGCTAGTAAGCGCAATAAACACGGGAAGCGACAAAATTAAAAGACACGAAGCAATAGCAAACAGAACTATTTCACGGTTCACGGTCTCCAGAAACATTTAAAAAATAAAAATATAAAATGTGCAGTAAAGGTCAATATATACAAGACTTTAATAAGACCGGTTTTGATATATGGGGCTGAAACGAGGACCTTATCTCAAAATGATGAAACACTTCTAGCTATTTTTGGGAGAAAAATTGTCAGAAAGATTTTTGGGGCCGTAAATGAAAATGGGCTATGGAGTCGAAGATACAAACTTGAACTATATAAGTTATACATCGATCCAGATATTGTTAAATTCGTTAAAGACAGATGAGCTGGACCACAGCCACCTTTACTTCCAAGCCATGAAGTAGAAATTTGGCAACAACGCGTGGTAGTCCGACTGTGGTTTGTTTTGTTTAACATTTCATATAGGAAGTCTTGTAAAGTTTGTTGAATTTAGTGTTTTTTTAACTTTATTCGAATGTTTTATTTGGAAATTGTGTTTAAATCAATTAGAAAATATTAATATAAGTGAAATTTCATTAAATTTAGAACTTTTAGAATATTCTTAACGACTATTTAAAAGGCAAGTATAAATATAACCTACAAAACAAACTGAAAATAATATTACTTTTGCTTCTTGTTACAAAATATGTAAACTAAAAACAACAATAATAATACTTTTGTTTTTTGTTACAGATGTTCTGGCATTGTTGTGTACCTGGTTGCAAAACCAATTATGCCAGTACTTTAAAAACGAAAACAGGCAAGAAACTACGTTTTTGTTTCCCAAAGATCCCCAAAGAAGGTATACTGGGTTATGCTCTATTCATAGAGAAGGCTGTACAATTACCAAATCTTCCGTAGTATGTGCCAAACATTTTCATGAAGATGATATTCAGCGGACTGAACAATGAGAAGATAAAGATGGAAATGTACACATTGAAAAGTTAATATTTCCCAAATTAAAAGGCAATGCAGTTCCTAATATATTTCCTGAAGTACCATCATATGTAACTGTTCATCGTACTAAAGAAAGAAGGAATCCCTAAGACAGAAGAAACTTTTTGCATAAGAAAAGGGAACAAGAGATAACATAATTATGACAATAAGACTTAGACAATAATATCCCATTGAAAAACTGGACAAGTAAAATTACAAGTGACTGTGTATATTTCTATGTATTAAACATTAATCAGTTGGGACACAAGTGTGATAATATTTGTGTAATATGTAGTGTAATAGTTAGCAGTAATTTTAGTGTAATCGTCAATGTAGGTAATAGATGTAATAGATTAAGTGGTAATGATTTGAAATGGGTTTTACAATATAGTACATTAACAAGATGGTCACAATTAGAGAACGTACTTTCTCATTTAGATCTGCTTTTTAGATAAGTGATAACAAATTTGAGTATTACATTTAAAAATCTTTTGAGAATATAGGCTATTTTAAATCGATATACAAGTTATAAATGATATGTTACATTCAACACATGTTTCATGTATACCTCTTTTAACTTGGTCTATATGACAACAAACCTATTCATATTTAAAATTGCTACTTTCGTATACCTAAGTATGAAAATTCAACAAAAGTTATAAGTAAATAATAAAATATTTATTTTGAATTAGATTAATTTAGAACCATATTTATATTGTGTCTGATTTCTTAGGATGAATTTTTTAATCATAATAGTTACACTAAGTTTTTGCTTAACAAATTTTATATCTTTTGTATTTTTAATGTCGTGTTAATGTATTGTGTTATTTATATGCTTAAGTATATACAGTGTAGGTAAAATTTTAAGGTCGGTATGGTAAAATTTAACAGGATATCTAACGCAGATATAAAATCATATTTTCAACGAATTAGACAAAGATAACAATCATATTTCCCTTCGTCTCCCCTCCTAAAATCCTTTTAACACTCATTGGCCATTGCCCATTAGTGAGACGATTAGTTCCGATCAGATATTCTCTGGTTCCGATCCTAATATACCTAAAAAACTAGAGGTGGATCTTCTCGTTTTTTTAATTTTTATCGGAACCGTTTTTCGTAAACTGTAACTAGTTGATTGTTTACCAGTATTCAAATTAGCGAGTACACAAACATATTAGCTATTATCGTTTATGTGTATAAGTATTGAAATAAAAGAACCTAACGAAGGATATATTTATTGTAACTTGAAAAATAAATTAAATAATACAAATGGTACTTAAATAGTTACATTTACATTACACATTATTAAATCGCGAATCGTCTAATTTGACATTTAAAAACATAAGTTTTTCCACTTATCTTGTTAATCGCGTTCTTCTTTTATTTAAAATTATACCAGATGTTAAACATGTGTTCACAAGGAAAAGATTTTGTTACAATACTACAACATTTTATGAATATAGTGGTTAAGTTACGATTATACATGGCGATGGTTTTTTCACCACGGTAATGGACAGTTCAATCTCCGTTCGAAATTGTTTGTGGGTAATATATCATCAGACAATTACATGTCGACTTCTTTTATACCTCTCGATACAGGTGTATGTTTAGATGAGTCATGTCCAATTAATTCATCAAAAATACACCATGGACTTAAGTCATCTTTATCAGTTTCTTTTTCTTGGACTGATTGATTTTCAAGATTTACTAAACTTTTCGTTTCATCCGTTTTCCATAGTTAAAGAACCAGCTTTTAAAAAGTTTGCAGGGTGGATTCCTGGATATAAACCGCCCAACAAGAAAAACTTTGTCAGGTTCATTACTTCAGGAATGTTATGTCAAAGTGAGCAAATTATTAGATCGCAAGTTGTTAAAGAAGTAGAAAATATCTGTATTACTACTGACCTCTGGACATCTGGGAGTAACTGAGAGTTACTTCGCGTTAACAGGACAATATTTAACCGAAAATTTAGTATTCAAAAACTTTTTTTATTAGGCTGCTGCCATTTTTCTGGAAACCATAATCCAGAAAACAGCGATTACTGAAATTATTAATCAGTCGGGTCTAAAACGAAAAGTAAATTTTGCAGTAACTGATAATTCCTAAAATATGGTCAAAGCTATTAAATATGTTTTGTTTTATGATGATTGTGATTTATGATGATTAAATTTATTGGTGGGGGACGCACTTAAATGCTGTCGTGTACAAATAGATAAAATAAAAAGTCCTTTTTTCGACAATTCTACAAAAAAACACATTTCAAAAAAGTACCTTATCTTCAGAAAGGCTTTTAAAGTATTAATTACAACAGAACACAGTTCCCAAACGGCCAATGCAAGACGTGGAAACTAGGAAGAACTTCACCTATTACATGTTAAAAAGAATGACGGAGTTAGAAGAGGCAACCCGTTCCACATTGGTATTAAATAATACAGACTTAGACTTAAACCTAATCTAAATAAAGAACACTGGATTATTTGTTCTCAACTTTCCCAAATTTTTACGGCCGTTTAAAGAAATAACAAGTACAATGAGTGACCAAAAATACTTGAATGCTAGTTCAGTGATTGTTATGGTACGCTGCCTGCAAGAATCTTGCAATAAAATTTTACCAAACGGTATACTTACATCCATAGTATATGACATAGTACAATTACTAATATCGGGTTTAGCAAAAAGATTTAGAGGGATAGAACAGAGTGGCAGATTGTCATTATGTACATTTATGGATTCACGATTTAAAGTGCAGAACAAAACAAAAAGTTAGAAGCTGGTTACTTCTATAATTAACGAACAAGAAGATTGTACTATTGAAAATCAACCTCAATACTGAATTCATTACTGTGGTCTAATAAAATAAGATGCATACCAAACTTCGCGTATACAGAGCAAATTGTAGAACCAATTACCACATATGGTGCCGAATGTTGGACGATGACAAAGAATGAACGAGATAAAGTAGACGTTGTGGGAAATGGATTATCTTAGAAGGTCATGTCGAGTATCGAGAATGGAAAGAATCAGGAATGAGGAAATACGAAACCGTACAGGAATTAGAGATACTCTTTCAGATAGAATACAAGGAAGGCAATTACAATGGTATGGTCACGTGATGAGAATGGAGGAGGAGCGGTGGCCAAAGAAAGCCTTAATGTATGTTCCGCCAGAAAGAAGGAAAAGGGGAAGACCACCAAATTCCTGGAGAAGAGAAATTACAAAAACAATGCAATCTAGAGGCTTAGAAGAGGGAGATTGGGGAGATAGGAAAAGATGGAGACTGAAATGCGGGAAGCGGCAATCGCCGTAGGACCCCCGTTATATGATGATGATGATTGTTTAGTTTATTTTTCAAGTTATAATAATATATCATTAGGTAGTTTCTTTCACTTCAAAAGATATACACATAAACGATAATAGCCGTTATGTTTGTTTATGTAGGTACTACCTTACTTGAAACTACTTTTAAACAATCATAGTTACTTGTTTATGAAAATTAAAATTTTTAAATGCTTTTTAGCATTCAAAAAAATTTAAATTTTTTTGGAATCCTGAGAAAACTAACAAATATTTTTGAAAAATTTAAATGCAGAATGAAAGATTACATTATTAACGAGGGCCGAAGGTCCCTTAGAATAAACAAAAAGTTTTTTTAATGAGATATTTGAAATTAAAAATCACACTAAATTTTGTTTTTTTTTTTCATCCTATAACTTATTAAAATAAACATTATAGAAGTTTTCAGGGACTTTCAGCTCTCGGTAATAATGTATTGTTTCATTCTGCGTTTAATTTTTTCAAAATATTTATTAGTTTTCTCAGGATTCGAAAAAAATGAATGCATTTAAAAAACTTTGGCCGAAATTTTGCTCCTAATCTCTTAACGATAAACTAGCACGACCCACCTCTACTTCTCGTTTTGACCAGACGACTATCTAGACTAGACGTTGCCAAATAAATTAGTGTATGAATATTTTTTAATTTGGCGTTATTGTATGCATGTTTAATTGTTTATTATTTCATATTGGGAAATTATTTTGATGTTTAGATTTTTAGTTCGGAAATCGTACTTAAAATACGAAACATTAATAAATTTTATTTATATATAAACGATTTCCGAAATGGAAATCAAAATGTTATATTACAATTATTGTAAGAAAACTTGTGGCATATTCCCAATAAAAAAAACAGTAACTGCCATTTAAATCAATTTCGCCCAAATTTGATTATCTTGAGCATTTTATCTTCTTGATAGAACATTGTTCAAATGCAAAAAAAGACAACAGGTCAAATAAAACCAATAAGTTTGGCAACGTTGAATTTCCCCTTTTTTAATATTTCCATTCGGCGATATAAAGGGCGTACCTAATATACCTCTCTCTTTTTAAACAGCTGTTTCTCATCCATCTCACGTAAGGTCCATACCGACCATAAAATTTTTCCTACACTGTATATATATATATATATATATATATATATATATATATATATATATATATATATATATATATTTTAGGCGTTACGCCCGTCCGGATCTATGGAGGAGTATCACCGAGCCGCAAGCCCTTATCTCTTGCCGTACTGCTCACCATAGGCCGATCAGATCCCAGCATATCCTAGTCTAAGCCGCAGATTCATCTAGAATTTTAAACTGCTGCGTTAGACTTTTTGTTTTCTGTACACCGAGCTGCGGCTCGATCCCACATCCACTGAACCATTCGACAGTTAAGCGAATGAGAGCAGCCGCACAGCCCGCTGAGCTATCTGACCGACTATGCTTAAGTACTTAATATTTTAAGTACTTAAGCATAGTCGGTCAGATAGCTCAGCGGGCTGTGCGGCTGAGCTATGAGCTATGCTTAAGTACTTAATATTTAAAATTTCTAGAGATTCTTGACTGCAGTTGATTGTAAGATTAACTGTTTGACACTGTATTTTATGTGCAATAAATTTTACTTTAGTGATTATTTTATTGATAATATAACCTAAATAATAATAAAAACTTTATATATATTTACTAGGTATATATATATAAGGTTTTATTAATTTAATTTCCCTAAAAATATTTCTGTAATGAATTGAAGTTTTCAAAATATCAGTTTCTAAAATTCAAATTAGTTTAATTTTTGGTAGACCTTACAGCTGATTATCGGACTACGACGTCATAGAATGCGGTGTTGCCTTTTTTACTTCATGGCTTGGAAGTAAAGGTAGCTGTGGCTGGACACATTGCTAGGATGTCAGATTACGAATACACGAAGAGATTACCATTTTCAAAACGACCACGAAGGAGATGGATTGATGATGTGAAAGAAGACTTACAGATTCCAAGGATCAGAAGATGGAGGGAAGTTGCCAGAAATCGACAGGAGTGGCGACTTCTTTGCGAGCAGGCCAAGATCCACAACGGATTGCCGAGCCACTTATGGTGATGGTATACAGGGTTACTCATGTAGCCGCACAAATATTTATTTCTAAAAATATTCGAATCTAAAAGTTTAAATTTTGCATTTACGTACAACTGTCATTCATCATCATCACTGGTTCCACAACCCTTCTTGGGTTTTGGCATGCTCCATTCTTTTCCCTTCTAATCTGTTTCGTGCTTTTTTTCTTTAATCGTTTGCATCGTCTCTAATTACACATACCAAAAATGCTCAACGAGAAGTACCAGTAAGAGTTGGTTTCTGGATGGCCGCTTATCACTCACTCACTTAACGATCCATTTTTATTGGTATTATATATTTACTAATAGGTTATATAAAAAGATATATGCAGTGACAAATACTTTACCTGAAAGCCTAAATTTCTTCCATAGAAACAATGTTGATTAATCTCTCCATATTTTGAAAATAAGTCACCTAATGGACAGTCCTCGTTAACAAAAAGACTGCCTCTGTCACTCCATGACATTATTGTCCCTAGGTGTGTTAAACAACTATCTAGACTGGTCAGAAGGTGTGAACAAGACTCAACGTCCCTAAAATATAAAATTTAAGTGCATATACTTTATAAAAAATATTTCGGGATTAAATGTCTCTTTAAATTGATACTAAAGTCTGATTCCTTTTTATGTTTTTGTGATTGTTCTTTGTTTTATAATTAACCTAACTTCCTAGAGGTTCTTTGGCTCATGGTCATGCTGATCAAAAGTTTTCTGTGTCAAAGACTCAGAAATCAATTGTTTCTGAATTATAGAGCTTCAAAAGTCGGTTTTTAGTCCATTTTTCAAAATAAATAATTTCGAAATGTGCCGTTTCACACAATTCAATATACGCCATCAAAATCTCATTAAACACGAATATGGGATCTGAATGAAATTTCTTAACGTTTCCCTGTCAAAAAAGTCATTCAGATCCATATTCGTGGGATTCAGATGCTGTATATTGAATGGGTAGGACCGTTACGATTCCAGATTTTTAAATTTAAAAAGTAAGGACTAAAAACCGACACTTTGAACCTCTGTAACTCAGAAACAATTGATTTCTGAGTCTTGGGACACGAGAACTTTTAATCAGCTAGATCAAAGCTACCTTTTTGCAAAGTTTCAGTCAATTTAATTGAACCACTTTCAAAAAATTTTCGACCGAAGAGGACCGGTGGGAAGAAGATCCAGAGGAAGACCAAAACTTAGGTATCAAGATAACATAGAGGATGATCTAAAATCCATCTGAGTTACAGCATGGAGAAGAGTTGCCAGAGACAGGGCGAATGGAAGATTGTTCTGAAGAAGGCTTTGGCTCATGACGAGCTGTAATGCCACTGATGATGATAGAAGTATGTTGGATGCGTGAAAATCACATTGAATCACTTAACCCAGTCATGATTTAAAATCAAATGAAAATACCGACGACAGTGATTATGAGTATGGAAATAATACACTGTAAGGTAATGTAATGTTTTCATTTTATCATTAAGAAGAATTTTGACTGTTATTGTTATTATTTTATCAGTTAATACGTACCACTACAATTTAGAAACAATAGAATTTGTAGTTTTCTTTGATTTTGGAAATAATAATTTCCAAAAAACCGAATACAGTATTTCATCGAGAAGGACCAAACTTACTACTGGCATTTGCAGACGATATAGATCTAATAGGAAACACGCGATTAAGGTTGAAGGAGACTTTCGTAAGGTTTGAGAAGGAAGCAGAGAAGATGGGGCTCCAAATCAACGAAAACAAGACGAAATATATGTATATGAACCGCAATAACCAAAGCAGAGACAGAATCGGTCAGAACATTACCATTGAGGACTTTAACTTTGAGCGCGTTAGAGAATTCAAGTATCTTGGAACAACAATAACTGAAGACAATAACGGATCACAAGAAATAAACAACAGATTCAGGCCGGCAAAACAACTAACACGACGAAGTCTATAAAGCAATCATACGACCCGTTGTGATGTATGGAAGCGAAACGTGGACGATAACAAAGGCAAATGAAGAGAGACTACGTGTTTGGGAAAGAAAAATCCTAAGGAAGATCTTTGGTCCGGTGCTTGATGAAGCATCAGGACAATATAGGATAAGAACTAATAAAGAGCTTGAAGAACTTTACCCAGACGCCAACATCATAAAAGAAATAAAGTCCAGAAGACTCCAATGGGCAGGACACCTCAGAAGACATTCTGACGAACGAACAGTAAGACTGGTGTGGGAGGAAGTCCCAACTGGAAGGAGACCACGCGGACGCCCTCGTCTCCAGTGGCGAGATAATATAGCAGGAGACCTAAGCACTATGGGCGTGGAGAATTGGATGGAGGTTGCTCAAGACAGAAAACAGTGGAGGCATGTTGCCGAGTCGGCTAAAACCCACAAAGAGTTGTAACGCCACGGAGTAAGTAAGTAAGATGGCGAAGAACATGGTAATCAAATGGAAACAAAAAAGTAATAAAAAATTTATTAAAAATCCTTTGTAAAAGGTATATATTAAGAACCTAAACGGGCTAAGTTAAACAGACAAAACGTTTTCGGAATCCATATTCCATCATCAGTGTCTAAGAGTACATGAATGTAGCCACTAAATATATGGGTAAAAACCCGTTAACAATAATTGATTACATTTAGTTTACAAAACTTCTTATAATGACTTACGATGTTAAAGTTACCGTTGGATTAGGTAACATGGCGACATATGACTCCACGTTGAAGTTGCTAGTCTTGAGACGGTGTGTCTACGAAGACTGTATGGGAGCAACTACAAAAAAAGTAATGAAAAATTTGGAGACAATGCATTGAATGAATCAACTTAGAAAAAATTTTGACAATATACAGACTGGTAACAATCACCAAAAGAAACGCCACGGAAAAGGGAGGATGAAGTGGCAGCGGATGCGCAAAATTTACTAGACGTGAGATCCTGGAGAAGATCGGTGCCTAACCGCAAGGTTGGAGGAGACCGAGGCTAGATTTGGGATGTAGTGCCACTGGAGAGAGAACAATAATAAAATAGGACCAATATCTGAAAACGGAGTCCAGGAAAACACTGGCGTTTCAGAGACAACTGAAAAAACATATGATTCTCGACATTCTCTCTATATAAAGTTTAATCTATTGCAAAAACTGTAAAATCTACAAAATATCAGTCTATTTTGTTATGACTACCAAACTGACGTATAATATTAAATCGAGAATGTTATTAATCTTTGAAATACTTAATTTTGACCTAAAATGGATTAAGATTCTTTCTATATTACATTTTTAACTGTTATTTTATTGTTTTGACTAGTTTTGTTGATTTGATAAGTTTGTAGGCCACGCTAGTCATTCTACTGGATATATCGCCTGTTAGTGTTAATAAACCTTGTATATATTAATCGATGAATCATAAATTACATTAGAACTTAGTACTTTGGACACAACATACATTTAGTTGTTAAATTTTATATGCAATTTCTTTAAATAATCCTATTAAATTTATTATACTCATAAAAATAATATGTATAGATAATTATAGATTAAAATTTACCGAATTTAGAAATTTTTCAGTAATTTGGATCAGACAAAAATAAAGATTAAATGATCTAATTGTATATTTCAATGGTAAAGACATAGGCCAGTGATTCTCAACCTGTGGGGTGCGGTATTATTAATGGGGGGGGGGGGGGGGGGGACGTGAGCCTATTCGAAAAAAAACATCAGCAACATTGACTAATTTACTAAAATCAAAGCAAAACAAAATTTCTTACAAAATAAAAAACACATGAACACTGATATAAAAGGTATAATTATAAAGAGCACTGAACACTAAATTATGATAAAGTTTAATAATAAATCAGTGACTTCCTTGAGCTTGTTTTGTAGAGCAAAGTTTATCGAAAAGAGGTGTAATAGAAATAGACGCTCTCAGTTCTTTTTCTATATTTAGCTGTGCTCTATAATTTGGTCTTCAAAGCAGCCACCGCAGAAAATCCTGTTTTGCAAAGGTAGATGATGTTGAAAACGGCAATAGTACACGCAACGCTCTGGTTTTCAGTGCAGAAAACTCATCATTTACTCCTGCCCAAAATTCAAAGAGGGATTTATTAATGAACTGTTTCTTGATTTCATCATTTGCCGTGAAGTCAATGAAGGTTTCTTCTTCGGCAGTAGAGAGCTCTTCCGGAGTAATTTGGAATGGATTACTAACCCACTCGTAACTACGTATTAATATGGCGTCGGCAAAAAAATATCTTCTAAAATTTTTAGTCAGCATCGCTAAATGATTTTCAATGGTTACAAAAACAACTTTCACATGTTGTTCTTCAACCTTGTAAGTTTTAATACTTTGATCCACATTGGCAAACATTTCTAGGTTTTTTTGCTTTAAATTTCTGTTCCACAATTCCAATTTTTTACAAAAACCAATAACTTTATCACTCGTATTCAATATATGTGTATTGGCTCCTTGAAGCTGAATGTTCAAAATATTGAGTTTCTCAAATATGTCAACCAAGTAGCTCAATTTCATCAAAAATAAAATATCTCGAAACATCTCGGCTTCCGGTCTATTGTCTTCTTCTAGAAAAATAGCGATTTCATGTCTTAATTCAAAAACACGTTGTAAAAAATTTCCCACGTGATAGCCATCTTGCCTCACAATAAAATAATAATGCTGAATGTAATGCACCCATGTCGTTACAAAGTGCAGAAAAGATTCTGGTTTTCAAAGGTCTCATTTTTATGTAATTATCTACTGTTACAACCGTTGTTGGCACAATATTCGTTTAAGATAGCAAATAATGCTAGCGACGTTGCTTTCAGTTCTATTGGTTTGCAAAAAAGTAGTTCTTCTACTAATGATATGCCATCACAAAATCGAACGTAGGCAATAAAATGAGCATCTTTATTGCTATCTGTTGCCTCATCAAGCTGAATCGAAAACAGCTTGTCACGCAACTTCCCGAGTAGCTGATTGTGTACATCTTCAGCTATATCACAAATTCGACGGGCAACAGTATCATTTGATAGAAGTATAGACTCCAATTTTTTGACAAAATTATCTCCAAACATAGTTTCTACAATTTGAATTGCAGCTGGCAAAATAAGCTCTTCACCAATAGTGTGAGGCTTTTTACATCTAGCTATTTGATGGAGGTTTTATAAGAGGCAAGTAAAGCTTTTTCATTCACAGTCAAAGTTTTTTTTATAAATGATTTTTGTTTTTCATGTGATTTTAATTTTAACTCGAAGAATTCTCGGGGTTGATTAATGCAATCACTATGAATCGTTTCCAAATGTCTTTTAAGTTTATTTGGTTTCATACTGTCGGCTGCTAAAATTTTTGAGCAAATGATACATAGAGGCCGTTCTTCTTCATTTACTTCAGTAAACGTAAACCCAAAATTTAAGTAATCTTGAGAATATTTTCTTGATTTTATTTTTAGAACCACTCTCGCCTGTACGCTTGTCGATGCTTCACTAGTATCGAGTGCTCGCTTACGCCCAGTTAAAAATTTATCCATGATTTTGTATAAATTTAAGTATACTTATATACCTACTGCTTGGAATATTTTAATACCGCGAACTGCAATTATTACACACAGCCTACAACATAAACATTCACAATAAATTTAACAGGCGCAGAAGGACTGACTAGTCTAACTGTCTGGGTCTGAGGAGGAGAGAATTGAACTCGGAACTTCTCGCGAAGAGAGACGATCGGTTTTGAATTGGTGTTGCCACATATCAATAAACTTACTTATTCTCGGTAATTTGTTAATTAAAGTTTTACACTGTAAGTTCAGTGCAAAGGCGGATCCTGGCTAAAAAATTTTACAAATAAATATACTTTATAAGGTTTGATTGTCTTTATGGCACTCAAGTGTGTGAAAAGTGCCCTAAAAAAATTTCGATACCACCGAAAAAAGTTCATGTACCACCCCCCCCCCCCTCCTGCAAATCAGTCCTGGATTCATATATTTTTATTGAGGGGTGGCGCGGTAGGGTTAAAAATCCTTTATAAAAGGTGTATTTATTCTAAAATTGCCCGTTCAGGTTACATCACAGAACATTTTCAGACTAACAAGTCCATTAACAGTGCAGTTACCAGGTATACATAAGGAAAGCCACTAAATATGAGCCACTAAATTCTGTTAATTTTGTTAATTATTACATATTTGTTGTAAAATTTAAATGATGTTAGTTTTTAAACAGATTTACATCATGACAATGCAAGACTCCCATTGGGTTGCCAAATTAGTCATGGAAAATACAGTTACTTTGTAGTAATAGGTTCCATCGTTCCGGTGACAGACAGGTAATAGGTTCCGGTAACCTATTACTTTTGTCGCCTATTACCCAAGCCGCAAGCAGCTCCATTTCGCTTGGCTTGCTGTAGTTTCTTGTAGTAATCCTAATATCTTTTTCAATAAACGAATACTTTTTAGTATTTATAGTTTATTTTTGTTTCAACTGTGAGTGATAAACATTCTTCGTACGTTTGATGGTTGTTAAAAATAAATATTAAACATATACAACTGACAGAGGCTTAAAAATAGATGATTCAACTACTATACTATACATAAATTATAAATGAAATATTAGATATATACATAACTTGTATATATGTATGTAACTTGTATGTAATATAAGGCGAGAGGAAAAAATATTATTGTATAATATTATTCTATTAAATAACTCGAGAATTTAGTTTTGCATTAACTACAAACAACTACATTAGAATAAGGGCAAGCAAATTCTAATAACATACTATAATAACAATAAACATAGTCTCTGTCTTAATCATTGTATGCGCTTATGGTGGTATTCCCAGCTATTAAGTGGCAAAACATACAGCTCATCATAAATTCGGTGATAATGACCATCCTATTCTGTTACTGATTGAGCAAACGATTCCCATCGTTCCATGTTGTCCAGTCACGTTAACATATCGAATGCCGATTCAAATACCATTGCATTTTCGTTATAGTTACTCTGTGACAAAAGTAATAGGCAGTTTCCTGTAACCTATTATTGAGAAAACGAATACTTATTGGTAATAGTGTTATTTATCCGAATACGTTATACAACGCCCATCTTTATGCCAAATCAAGAGAAGGCATCTCTATGAGGACCCACAGAGATACAATTCCACTAGGAAACTAAGTTCCTGTAGCTGGCTGTATACCATATATCACAAAAAATTGTTTAAAATCCTTTATAAAAGGTATATAAAAGTTTTACATACCTTTTACAAAGGATTTTAAACAATTTTTTAATTTTTTTCCACAGAGATACCTTCTCTTTGGTTGGCAACCCGCTGGGAGTCTTGCAGAGTCTAGAGGGAGTCTAGGGGGAAACATATAGCATGAAATTTCGGTTTTGAGTTTTGGCAACCAATTTGAAGCATTACAATTATGCCAATTATGCCAAAAAAACCCTGAATTAAACTTTCACATTATGAATGATCTAAAATGTTTAGCACTCTTCACTTTTAAAAAGCATTTTAATTTTTGTCAATAGGACATTCTGATAAAAATATATTGAATTTTTATCATTGAGTTGATAAAAATTTTAATCAAAATTGATTATTATTATTGTATTTAAAATTCATGATTATTGATTCATTTAAAATCTCTAGTCGCTTCAATTGATGTTTCTGAGAGAATTGTTCATTCCATACAAAAAGTGCTAATAAGACATTTAAAATTTTCTTAGCTACAACTTTTTATTTGACACATTTTTTTCTATGATATAACAGATTCTTGGTAAATTGATTTTTCTGTTTGCACCCCCTACAAGGTGGCATTTTAGAAGGAAGCCGAGGGTAGCAGTCCCAAAATTGATATTCTCAGATATGTCCCTTATAGATATATGCAGGTATATTATCTTTAACAGTACATTCATTACAGTATTAGATTTTATTCTCTATACTGGCTCTTATGGCTTTTCCTGTTATCTTAACAAACTCTAGAAAAACATTAAAATTACAGTGTAAAGAAGATATTTATTGTGGTAAGATATTAAAACAGTAAAAATATACTCCATTTGGATTTCATGAGGAAGATATTTCAGAGATAAGACCATTACAAAGTTATTGTCTTATAATCTTGACAAATCACAATTCAAATTGCTTAAATTCAAGAGACGAAGTGGAAAAAAGTAATAAGCGAAAGAAAAAGATATAAATTGTGGTCTGTAGGGGAAAATAAGCTAGAATTAGAATGGGTATAATTGCCAATAGAAAACTAAAAAAGAAAATGGTAAGAATGAGTAGTAGGATAATGCTAGTGAAAATTATACTTGATACATGAGTGCTAAATGTAGCATATATTATGTGTGCTTATGCCCATTAGGTCAGATTTTGTGAGAATGAAAAAGTTTTCTTAGATCAATTATAAAACATTTTTAGACTCCAAAAATGAAAAAGGTATTAATAAAAGGTGATTTCAATGCATATGGGGTCAATCTAAAAGTGGATATAAGCCAAGTATGAGGGACAAAGTAACTAGAAATGGGGCTAGAGTTGGTATGCTTGAACTAGGACTAGATACTGCAAGAGAAAGCAAGCCTAACACACGTCAAACTGGATAAAATTAGTCCCAAATATATGACAAGAAAAGAAGGAGAAAAAAAAGAAGGGAATAACATAACTGCAAGATCATGAAGGGTTTGATAAAAAACCTGTAGAATTAACTTCAAATTTCAAATTCATTTATTGATGTAATTTTGCCAGTAGCCTAACACACGCCAAAATAAAAGTAGAACAATAGTTCTATTAAAAATTTTAAATTCTAATTACATAAAAATACATATCAGATTGAGTGAAAATATTTTAAAATTGAAATTTAAGATATTCCTCACTACTAAATACACTTTTTATTAAAATTTCCTTAATTTTATTTTTAAACTGAGTTTTGGGAAGATCCTTTATATTTTCTGGCAATTTTTTATAAAATTTAATTGCTCAATATCCTGATCCAGTTTGATACCTCTTCAGCCTCCAGTAGGCTGGAACAAGATCACATCTGTGTTATGTATTATGATTGTGCATGTCTTCATGGGTCACAAAGTGTCCCCCACTTCTCTTAACAAACATAAGGTTCTCATATAATATAAAAAGAGGGCACAGTAAGAATTCCTAGAGTCTCATAGGAAAATCTGCAATCGTCCCTAAACCCAAGACCTGCAAGAACTCTTAGAGCCTTACACTGCAAACCAAAGACTCTTGGCATTCCTGCCACCCCGACCAAGATTGAATATATCAGACGAGAGTGAAAAATGGCATAATAAGCTGTTCATAAGACCTTGTGTGAAACACCTGATGCTAGAATTAAGGGATATAGAAACACCAATAGTTAACCAAAGGAAACATCCTATGCTAAAACTAAGGAAACTGTTTTGGTATAGGGCAGGAAAAGTTATCTATTATGGAAGATATATTCAAAATATCCTTTGTCAATTAAGTAGTCAAATAGAATGCTGGCATAATATAAGTTTTTCTATAACAACAGTCCAATTAAAATTTACTATAATGAATACAAATACTTTTTATTAAAGTTTAAGGGAAAAAAATCACTAACCACAATGAATGTGCTCTACTATAAATATCAAGAATATCTGTTTTTATAAATATTCACTAAAGCATAATAGCAACACAAACCTGAAACAGTTTACGAACATTTAAAATAAAAACTTACTTAGTTAAAGTACTTTTACGAAAAAATGTACTATCCCTTTTCTGTAAAACTTTTTCAGAACACTCAACAGCCATTTGAATAGCTCCATCAATCACAATAAGAAAACTTCTATATCCATTTCCAGGAACACTTTCATCAAAATCAAAAAAATGTACTTGACTTTCTATAGGAATAAGCTTTGGTTGAATCCTGTCTACAACATCTACCATGGCAAGAAAAGATAGATAGAGTCTTTGACCGTTTTCAGTGTTATCTCTTGCAAAAAAAGTTGCATTGCTTTTACATGTTTCTACTAAGTTATTAATTTTTAAAACTCTTTCAGAAACTGGTTTATTTTCTGTATCTGCAACATTATTTGCAGAATTTTCTACTGTAATTGTATCGTCATGATTTTCTTTATTTGAATCAATCATTTTTGTTATGACGTTTATTTGAATCAAAGATAATTTACTTCTATCCACAGTGACTGATCATTTGTGTCTAAATAATGTTGTTTAAAACCAAAACGTTTAATTTAATTCATGACAATTTATTTATTTACTTACGTCATGTCATTTTTGAGTGGGTCATTTATGTCAATTGTCGTGGTAAATGACATATGATTGACTGTACACATTTTGGTGTTCACTCTATTTTTTTTTTATTAATAAAATATTCTTTTCTATAGATTTTGTAATTAAAATATTATGTTATAATAATTTTCAGCGTAAAAATTATTTCTAGATGTAGTAAACATACAATTTATACTAATATTGGACTAATTTAATGTTTTAAAAATCTAATGACATCTCATGTACTAAATGACAAATGAAGTGAAAATTCAAAATTCACATCAAAAATTGCCTTCAATGACTGTGTTTTTTCCGACGTGAAAGTTTCAAAATTACATTTTTCGGAATTAAACAGTGTTCAAGATGAATATCACTTCTGCAGCGGGAATTATTTCCCTCTTGGATGAACCAAGACCAGAATTAAAAGTATTTGCATTGAAGAAACTAGATTCCATAGTGGGTGAATTTTGGCCTGAGATTTCAGAAGCTATTGAAAAAATTGAAATTTTGCATGAAGACAAAGTGTTCCAACAGCACCAGTTAGCTGCACTTGTGGCAAGTAAGGTATATTATCATTTAGGTGCATTTGAAGATTCTTTAACTTATGCTCTTGGTGCGGGTGATCTCTTTGATGTCAATGCCCGCAGTGAGTATGTAGAAACTATTCTAGCTAAATGTATCGACTATTATACTCAGCAACGTATTGCTGTAGCTGAAGGATTGGCAGATGCTAAACCCATAGATTCTCGCCTTGAAGCTATTGTTAATAGAATGTTTCAGCGTTGTCTAGATGATGGACAATATCGTCAAGCTATGGGCCTGGCTCTAGAAACCAGACGAATGGATATTTTTGAGTCGTCTATTACTCAGTCTGATGATATTATCAGCATGTTAACTTATGCATTTCAAGTAGCTATGAGTTTGATTCAAAATCGAGCATTTAGGAACACTGTTTTGAGATCTCTTGTTGGACTTTATAGAGGACTGAATACACCTGATTATGTTAATATGTGCCAGTGCTTAATTTTCCTTGATGATCCATTGTCTGTGGCTGAAATTTTAGATAGGCTTGTAACTGGCAAGGAGGATACTGAACTTATGGCTTATCAAATTGCTTTTGATCTCTATGAGTCAGCTACTCAACAGTTTTTGGAAAGAGTATTAGTTGCATTAAGGGCCACAGCACCAGTTCCATCTTTGCTGGAAGAAAAATCAAAGCCAAAGACTGGTGAAGGGGAGGGTGCTATGTCAACTGAGACTGGAGAACCATCCACAGAAACAAAAATTGAATTAAAAGAAGAAAAATCTCTTGACAGTTTGTCTGATCAAGATAAAGAACATCAGAAAAGAATTGAGAAACTTCATACCATACTCTCAGGAGAGGTTTCTATAGAATTGCACCTTCAATTCCTTATTAGGTCAAATCATGCTGACCTACTGATTCTTAAACAAACAAAGGAGACTGTTAGAGTTAGTATTTGTCACACTGCTACTGTAATTGCAAATGCGTTTATGCATAGTGGTACAACAAGTGATCAATTTTTAAGAGATAACTTAGAATGGTTAGCAAGAGCAACAAATTGGGCCAAACTTACAGCCACAGCCTCACTTGGAGTTATTCATAGAGGCCATGAACAAGAGGCACTAACACTAATGCAAAGTTACTTACCAAAAGAAGTTGGACCTAGCTCAGGTTATTCTGAAGGGGGTGGTCTTTATGCTCTTGGTCTTATACATGCCAACCATGGTGCAAATATCATTGATTACCTTCTTGGACAACTTAAGGATGCACAGAATGAGATGGTTAGACATGGAGGTTGTCTTGGTCTTGGTTTGGCTGCTATGGGCACACATAGGTAAGTTATTCCTTTTTTTAATTATGTATTATTATGATTGCTAGGGATTTTTATTTAGCAGTTTTCTGCTTATTGAAACATTAAATTTTATTTTTGAGGAATGTTCAAGTCTTTGTGTTCTAAATATTTATTCTAACTATAATTCTCTTCTGTTATAGACAAGATGTTTATGAACAACTCAAATTCAATTTATACCAAGATGATGCTAATACTGGCGAAGCAGCAGGTATTGCAATGGGAATGGTAATGTTGGGTTCAAGTAATTCTACCACAATTATGGATATGGTTGCATATGCACAAGAGAGTCAACATGAGAAAATTCTTAGAGGTTTAGCTGTTGGTATTAGTTTTTCCATGTATGGCAGATTAGAAGAAGCAGATCCCCTGATTCAACAACTTACCTCTGATAAAGATCCTATCCTCAGAAGATCAGGCATGTATACTTTGGGTATGGCATATTGTGGTACTGGAAATAACCAAGCAATTAGAAAATTACTTCATGTAGCTGTGTCAGATGTGAATGATGATGTTAGAAGGGCTGCAGTTACAGCTTTAGGTTTTCTCTTATTCAGAACTCCTGAACAATGTCCTAGTGTAGTATCTCTTCTAGCTGAGAGTTACAATCCACATGTTCGTTATGGAGCTGCTATGGCTCTTGGTATTGCATGTGCAGGAACTGGTCTACGTGAAGCTATAGCTCTTCTTGAACCTATGGTTATGTTTGATCCAGTAAACTTTGTAAGACAGGGTGCTCTCATTGCTTCAGCTATGATTTTGATTCAACAGACTGAGCAAACTTGCCCCAAAGTCACATTCTTCAGACAGACATATGCTCAAGTCATTTCTAACAAACATGAAGATGTGATGGCTAAGTTTGGAGCTATCTTAGCTCAAGGAATCATTGATGCAGGTGGAAGAAATGTAACTTTGTCATTACAGTCCAGAACTGGTCACACAAATATGTTGGCGGTAGTTGGTACATTGGTTTTCACTCAGTATTGGTATTGGTTCCCTCTATCACATTGTTTAGCTTTAGCATTCACTCCAACATGTGTAATTGGTCTCAATGCACAATTGAAGATGCCCAAACTAGATTTCAAATCCAATGCCAAACCTAGTTTATATGCTTATCCGGCTCCAATGGAAGAAAAGAAAAGAGAGGAAAGAGAAAAAGTAACTACTGCTGTTTTAAGTATTGCTGCCCGCCAACGTAGAAGAGACCATGAAAGGAAGCATCGTGATGAAAAGATGGAAGTAGATGAAGACAAAGATGACAAGAAAACAGAAAAAGAAGACAAGGAGAAAAAGTCTGAAGAAAAAGAAAAAGATAAAAAGGATGAAAAGAAAGCTGATGAAAAAGATAAAAAGGCAGATGAGAAGAAGGCAGGTACTTCTACTGGGGATAAGAAAGATGATAAAGAAGAAAAGAAGAAAGAACCTGAACCAAACTTCGAAGTTTTGCAAAATCCTGCTAGAGTTATGCGGCAACAATTGAAGGTGATAACACTTAATGATAGCAATCAACATGTTTCGATGAAAGATGTTTCTATTGGAGGAATAATAATGGTGAGGAACTTGAAGCCCGGAGATGAGGAACTGGTTGAACCTGTTGCAGGTATGTTATCTATTTAATATGTTAAACTTATTAGGGAATTGATATTGTTATGACCCAAAATAGAAACTTAAAAATGTAATTAGGGAAGCCAAAATGATCATTTAACTTAAAAAGACAATGAAAACTGAAACTAATTACACAATACTATTATCATAATCTAACTCTTAGATAAAAATCAATAAAAATAATGTATTTTAAATTATGGCTATCAAAAGTCATAAAAAGTACAAAAGAACCTGAATGTTTTAATCTCTAATTGTTTTTATAAGTATAAACTCTCTAGCATTACTTATTGTGTTTCTTTTTCAAGCTTTTGGTCCCAAAGGTGAGGATGAGAAGGAACCAGAACCTCCAGAGCCATTTGAATGGACAGAAGATTAGATATCATCATTAACCTTTTTATAATTTTTCATTTAATTTACTATAAGTAGATGTAATTATACGAAAAACGACTTTTGTTAACATTTAATATTAAATTATTAGTTTAGCGTTTGTGTATATCTTGGATTTTATTTAAACATCCTTGTCTGGTGTACACTAAAAATGCCAATAAAGATAGACAAGTATTTTTACTCATAGATTTGAAGTAAAAAAAAATGTTGCACCTGGGGAAGTGCCAACAGAAGTGAAAATTTCTCTAGAGAGACCTGAGAAAGATTTTTTATATTGTATTATTGTATATTTGTATATAAAAAAATGATTTAAGAAGACCTATTGAAATTAAAAAATTCAAATGTTAGTATTTGGATAGGAAGCAAAATCTATACACCAAGTTCAAGACTCTAGAGCTGGGTTATACTGACCCAAATTGAAAGTAATCTGTGTTGTACCTAGAGAAATCTATGTACAAAGTTTCAAGATAACTAGGACTTCTCTTTCAAGAAAGAGAAATACATACAAATATGAGAAAAATGTGTTATGGCACAAATTCATTTGAACAGTAGATTCTTTGGACCATGAGGAAATTATGTACCAGCTTTCAAGATTCTAGGACCTTTTCTTCAAGAAAATCAAAAGACTTAAGAATATGAGAGAAAGAAAACACTTATTGACACAAAATGCAATAGGGTTCTTCCATATACCAAGGGGAATCCATCTACCAAGTTTTAAGATTATTAAGACTTTTGGTTCAAGAAAAAAGAAAGACCAAAACATGAGAAGACCCATAGGCCCAAATGCAATAGTTTTCTTCCTTACTGTCCTTAATGTATTTATTTTCAGGACTCCACAGGTTTTACTTAAACAGAGATGAAAAGTACAAAAATGTGAGAAGAAGAAGACTTACTGTACCAAATTTAATAGCCTTTTCTTTAAGAAAAAGTGGAAAGTAGACATGATAGAATATGTTTTGACTGATTTCATAAACATAAGGAATTAGGAATCATCTGTTATCTTTTCTCTTACCTTTTCTTTGTCTAATATACAAATAGAAAGAAATAAGGAATATGAAAAGAACTAGAAGACTTATTTATCCCAAATTTAATAGTATCAGCTACATCGTACCACCATTCAGTGATATGCATATTTCTATGTCTTGGTGTCCTCAGAGTGACCTCATGGTAAGCTCTGAAACTCTCTATGGAAAGCTTACCTTGAGGACGTCAAGAGGCTGAAATATGCATATCAGTAAATGGTGGTATGCTGTAGCGAAATCAAATGTTAACTGTCTATTTTATTTTACATTTTACTGCAGTATGGAGTATTGGGAAATAATTTTCACAAAGGGATTTCTTCATTCACATAGACAAATGGGTATGACATAGATCATCAACATCATCATCACTGGCTCTACAATTCTGATCTTTTTCGTGTTTTATATCATTTTCTATTTGTTCTAAGGATATGACATAGATGCAAATTATAAATTTCCATGCCAGTGCATTGGTCGTCTATTTTGTTTTGCAATTCTATTTCCAATTTATTCTCATTAATAGGACTCTTGTTTGCAAGAACAACCTATGCACTCAATTTCAGGGCTCTAGGATTTCCTTTTAGAGGTATCACACAGATAGAGGTATTGATAGACAGAAACTGCTCAGAATTTTAAAAAGGACCTGTTCAGTTCTTTATAAGAATATGTTATGAAAATATCAAAACTGAGAAGAATGTATGAAAATAAAATATATCAATAAAAAATAAACAGACAATTGGACCAAGTGTTTATAAACATCTAATTATCTCTTAAATGGATGGTCTGAATTATACAAAAACATGAATACACCCATTTTGCAATATTGAGATTTGATGTTTGTAACATTGCCAGATTTACCATTTTTTTGATATCATTTGTCACTTTGATTTTTTCAATACAACACCCTGTATATTGAGCCTTTATTGAAATCTTCACTTCAGTACTAAAATTTCTTCTCAGATGTTTCAATCAACTGAGTAATTGCTCACTACACCCAACCGTACATTTAATATTGCTTTGTCCAAAAAACATCTTGTTAACAAAGTTCTTGTCAGTTATAATTTTATTCATCATTATCTTACTAAACTGTATTCTATGGGCATAGTCATCTTCTTTTAATGCTCGAAACAACTGGATTTTATAGGAATTAAATGTGTTCTTATGTATTATACACAAGACTGAAGAATTACCCACTTCATGTATTTGTGTAGCTCTGCCTGAGGATATATGTGGATATTCAAAGAAACTCTGCATTAAATCTAAAGTTTTATTATAATTTATAACAGATTTTTGTCTACCTGTTCAAATGCTATCTTTTATTCCTTCAGTTCTCTAAGAGTACTGTACAATTTTTTGTATCCTCGCCTTAAAAGATATGAGAATGGTTTGGGAAAGTATAGTTAAACAAGTTGACTACTATAAGATCTTATCATTACCACTGTAATTCGCTCTGTTTAAATAAAAACCATCTATGTTGTAGAGCTTTCAAAAACACATAAACAACTGTCAGCTTTATTGAACAATGTAATTTACAAAACTGAATATTAAGCTACTGTTAGTTTTATGAATTAATGTGTCTATACACCTTATAATAAACTACCCTTTCAACCAGTATATTTTCAACTCTTTAACTATTAGGATGGTCATTACATAAATATAATCATCATCATTGATACTACAAAGCTCACACAATCAGTAATTTCTGGCTACTTCTAACATTCATTATTTGTGTAAATTCTTTCACTTCAGTATTAGCCTGTCCCCATCTCTATTTCCAATAGACATTAATAATTTCATTCAAGTATCATGCTTATTTTAATGAAGAATATTACATCCCTGCCACTTACTATTTCTTATATTATCCCAAAGTTATATTGTATATTATTAGTTTGGTTTTATTAGATGGAACTGAAAGATGTCATCAATATAAGTCAGGAATAGTTTAGTCCCCCTTCTGGCCTTTATTGTGTTAATTTTATCTTTGTCAAAATTAGTATAGCTGAGTTTATCTATCTTCTACTGTATCTATCAGTATTACTCTACCAGTGATATCAATCGAAAAAAAACTTATATTAAAAGAAATATTAAGACTTTATTACTAACAGTAACAAAAATGAAACACTCCTACATAGGTAATTTTATCAAAATCACTTATTTATTTTAATGACATGAAATGCAGCAGATCTCAAAGTTGAAAATCGAGCATATTTCACATAAAATTTCAAGCAGTAAGTAAATCTAAATTATAATAAACACAAAAATATTCACAGTAAATACTGAACAGTCCCTTAAATTACTTTTCCTCACACCATTCATTCTCTTTTCGCACTTGTTCTTCTTCGGATGCTGTAAAGTCATTCTTGATGTTGAAAGTCTTTCTGATTTCTTCAGGAGCTTTACCTTTAATCATATTAGCAACAGTCTTACATGTGACATCCAAGAGTCCCTTGATATCCAGATAGTTAGCAGCCAAAATCAACTCGAAAAGGGTTCCTTGGTCCACTTTCAAGAAGTCTGCATCCCATGAGGAAATATCATCTGTTCTTTTTTCTTTATTATCATCATCTTCAGGTGGTGGTGGATCGTCTTTGTGGTAAGTCGCCCATTGAATGACTTTCCTGAGTATAGCAGAATTTACATTTGGTAAAGGAACGACTTCCTCTTCTTCTTCATCCATTCCCAAGTCTTCTAACATGGTTTTGATAGTAACAGAGCATTTTGCAATTTCAACATCGATTTCGAAGGTCTCACCATCAGACGACTGCAACTTTATATTTGGCATCTAAAAAATTGGAAATGAGTCAACTTTTCAACCAATAATATGAATAATGTTACGATTTTCCCAAAGTAAATGATTAGGTATATATAAAAATAACTTACTGTTTTATTTATTTAGAAAAAGTTCAGCTGCTAAGAAATCCTTCTTTGTGTTTCCAATCTAATTTTGTTAATCAATGTCTTTGGTAATGGCGTTCGGTAAAACAAGAAACAGAAACAGATGACGGTTGAAATATGACATCGAATGACTGTCAAAAACTTTAAGGCATTTTCAAATAGGTTAGATTTTATAACTTGCTTTCGGATGACGTCTTATAAATAATTTTTTTTAAAGCGGGTCGAGTTCTTGACTGTAAATATGATTCTGTACTACCTTTTCTAAGATATTATAAGATACTTTCTTCGGTAATGGGATACATATACAGGTAGGTATTCTAAAAATCCCTTTCTGGTAAATTAAGTTAGGCAGGTTTTGTATAGGTTCGTTCGGTTTTCTTCTAGTAACTTAAGAATCGTCATTAAGAAACATTTTATTTATCAGTACTTGAAGCTTAATTATAATATTATATTGTGGACGGTCTTGACTACTTCCTCTTTTTGATCTGATATTTTTTTACTTTATTTTTTTTAATATCTAGATGTTCTCGTCGACGCTAGGATTTGATCCCTGGTCTTTTGCGCGGAAGTCAGATATCCTACCGCCATAGTTATCCGGTGAGAATATCGGAGAATACAGGGAGGATTTAGACCAGGAAGAACAACTACTGATCAAGTAAGTATGTTAAAATTAATTCAAAATAATAGCTACGAATAAAACTTAGGAATACCAGAAATGCTTATATGGCTAGCGAGAAAGACACTTGGGAACACGAGAAATAGTTGTAATGTCAGTTACACTCGATCCAATGTTTTAACCTTGTTTAGGCTTTGTGCCTCTTCAAGGAAGGGGTACTCCTTTTTTTGTGGAGCAAGTGGTGTGTGGTAAATGTGATGTCGAATGCTTGTGGAGATGTAGGTGGATTGCTAAAAAGCTGGGGTTCAGAAGGTGGCGTGTGTGGCGTGGACGATATGGCGAAGCGCACAAGTAGAATTGTTGGTGGAGAAGACCAATCAAATCGAAGGAGGTACTTCAGGATTACCAGGCATACTAGGAACGGTTCTTTATTACCGTTTTTCGCGTGTAGTTGTTTGCTGTGATATTTGATGGTTAATGATTCTAGAATATCAAAATACTTATCAGGAAGTTCGTGTCCAGTGTTGTGTAGTTTAGTTGGAGGGAACGGAACTTTTCTTTTGGGAACCCTGGTGAGTATTTGCCTTAGGCGATTGTCCTTAATGATTCTGTCCTTAATCGGTGTTAGATTGCCTACGTGATGTATATGCGCTGATGGATAGTATCGGCACTTCCTCATGCAGAATCAAAGGATTTTCCTTTCATTATCCATAATGGTGTTAATTTGGCGGCTGTTAAGTAATGCGCAGACGCATGCTTTTTATTCGATTAGCGATCTTATTTAGGTTTTGTAGTTGTGCAAAAATGTTTTAGATGACGTCCTGCCCATTTTACCGGACAGCGCTGCCAGAAGTCTAAACCTCTTTCTCACCCTGTCTAGGATATCTTAAATGTCGATTTTCCAGTTGAGAGTCTTCTTCTTCTTCTTCTTCTACTTTTTGTAGATCTTTCGATCTGTTTAATTCTGAAGCTGCCTCTGGTTAATTTCTTGGGAGGTAGATTGCCAACTATCCCTCCATCTTTTAGGTGGTCTTCCGGGGGTCTTGAACCGGGCGGATTGTTTTCTAGGGCAATTTTTGGGAGTCTATTCTCATCCATTCGTCTTACATGGTTGTACCAAATCCTCTTGTGCCATAGTAGAGTCCTGTTAAAATAAACTACCAAATGGGAAACCATGGAAGGTTTCCGGCCATGGACATTGCGACAATTGGATAATCTGAATAAAATAAGTTAAGTTTTGAAAGCGTTTATGGCCACTCTCCATTTATTGCACCACCTAATGACACTATCTAAATAGTTTTGTGCTCTTTCGAATACAGACAATTGTCCACCCTCCCTATGTGGCCCTGACGTGAGAAGTGCAGTGTCATCCGCATACAGAAGAAGGGATTCCGATCTATGCTGCGGGCGAGGGATGTCACTATTGTAGACTGTGTATAATATTGGAGCAACAGTTGAGCCCTGGGGTACACCAGCTTTGGAGTAAAGGGTGTGGATAAAATGTCGCCAACTTTGATCCTGATCGTCCGATTGGGAGATAGAAATTTATTAGCTTAACAAAAGGTGTGGGCAATCCAGAAAGGTGGAGTTTTTCTATCAGGTCTGTGTGCCAGATCTGATCGAACGCTTTCTGGACGTCTAGGAATATGCCTATGACGTGTTTCCTTTCGTTAATTGATTATGAAATGAAGGTTGTTGCTTCAGCCTATGTATTTTGCGTGGAATGTCCAGCACTGAATCCGAATTGGTAGTTTGGAATGGCGAGGTGAGCGTCTAGGAATTCTATGAGTCTTTCCTTAAGGATCCTCTCGTAGACTTTACCTAGGGACATTCAAAATCGCTGGTCTCTTCAATCGGTGTTTATGAGAAAATAGTTCATTCTACAGAAAAAGTGGTAATAAATATTTTTGTTAAAAATTATCTTAGCTATACTCCATTCGCTTATCTCGGGCATATTTCGACAGATTCATTGTCGGAAACCTACAACACAACAATTCCTACTTCTTAGTATTAATAGCACAAGTAAACTACTATTGCAGACTTCTTTCTTTGAAAAAAGAAGAATTATTCTAAATAGTGGAAGTGTATACTAAACCTATCAAATTTTGGGTAGTATATATTTCTTCTTCTTTTGTTTCTATGGCTTCCACGTCATGTAGTATATATTTAAAAAATATATTTTAGTTGTTATAATTTAACATAACTAGGTATTTATTATATGGTGCAGATAAATAAATATTGATTGTCGGTAATTAGCAAAGTTCTATTTTATTTATTATTTAGTTAGTTTACTATTAATATTGGCTATGAGTACGTGTGCTTGATTGTACAGTAATTTCCAGCCACTTTTAGTCTGCCAAAAAGTAACTAACTTCGCAAAAAAATAATTACTAAATTCACTAGACAGTTCAAACTGGGAATAGCGAACCGAGTATATGGTTCTTGTTTAAAACATTTTTTCTATGGCGTAGAAATACTTGGTTAATCGATGTTTTACGTTATTCCCATAAAACTCCCCTCAAATGAAGGGTTTTAGGAGGAAACTCGGGGGTAGGAGTGGCAAACTTTTTTGGATCTTTTTTGGGGTCCCAAAATTGACATTCTCAGCAAAATTCAGCTTGTTTTTTTACTTTTTCCTACGTTTTCTCATTATTTATTTTGTTAGCCTTATTAGTTAATAAACATAAAACAACTGTAACAAACATCAGTCATCAAATTAAATCCAGAAGAAGTTGAAAGCATAATTTTGCTTAGCAAATGAGAATTGATTTCGTCCATAAAAGATATTGTATATTAAATCTTCATGAATCCTGTTATAACTCAATTAATCGGTTATGTGTATCTAGTGCTTTTAGCACGAAGATAAGATAATATCTTACAGACCATTACTTTGTTGATCTCGTTTCGAAACGGATGGAAATAAATGGTTTAATGATAATATTATATCGCAATAATTCCAAATTCTATACACAAAATGATCGCAGTAGAGGTTAGTTTCCTTCAAAATAGTGTAACCAAAAGTCAAATGTCTCCAAAATTATATATAAAAATCTACACAGAAATTATAAACGTGAATTGTCATTTTTTCTGAGGAGAGGCATGTCTGTGACATCAATTATGGTGTATATAGTATATGATATTAAATATTTATCAAAAACTTTCGAATTACTACAGTAAACGCATTTTTCGTTCACTATCTTTACTGTTACCTAGAAGCAAAAGATATAACAACAGTCAATAAATTTCTGTTGTTTTGCTTGCCGTCGTACCTTCTTTTCTCCAGACTTTGGCTTTTGTATATATGGGCTTAATGATTTTAAGAGAGTGCCTGTTATATTCATTGTTACTTTTCCTCTATTTTTCACCCTTTCTTCTCTCGCTGTCTTTCTTATTCGTGCTTTTTCTTTTTCTTCTTTTATAGCATTTTTCTTTGGAGTGTCTGTAGCTATCATGGTTTTACCTGGTTTTCTTTCACTAGCTTTCCTTTACTTCGCTTGTGCCCTAGGGTAAGGCTGAACTTGTTCCGGGGTTATACATATTTTAACACATTTTTTTCCCATGGAAGTCGATAAAAATTCAGGTTCTTTACTCTCGTGAGTAGAATTAGTTGTATTTCATGTTATACCTGATGCAATAACAGGAACTGAATGACTTGTGTCACTTGAAGTTCTCGCAACTGAAACAAAAATAAAATCCTTACCTGAAGGTCCCGCAACAGTAACAGATGGTTGGCTTGTATTACCTAAACGCACTGCAACAGAAACAACATAATTAGTTGTTTCACTTGGAGTCCATTCTCTTGATCTGGTGTCTACTGAAGCTGAAAGGGGAGAGGTTGTCGAGCGATCAGTGACATAGGGAGCTAAGAAATCGTCATCTGGAATCTACTCCTTCGTTAAAGGGGTTAGAGGGGTAGATTTCAGATTTACGAAATTCAGAAATAAATACGACTGCCGGGCGTAAATGCTTAAGCCGTTCCAAGAACTTCAGTAACTGTGTATATATCGAATGTTTTCCCCGTATTGTTAATCAACCACGCTTCGACTGCTTGGTTGTAGTAGGTTTTGAGAGGTGAATAGACTGAAAGGTCCAGCAGCTGAAGCTTATGGCTGCTGTGAGGAGGAAACGTAACCATCAACTATTCCTGCATCAGAGGCTTTGTCCAAGGCTTATAGAGAAAGGCGTGTTTCATGATTGTCAAGAACAAGTAAGCATCAAGAACAAGAACAAAAAATCATTATTAACAAAAGTCGTGCATATTTATGCACATATATTTTTTATACATATTTGACTAAGTCTGGACATAGCCTGATAACCCATTTCTCACATCCGTAAGTTGTAACGACTCAAATTGGGGCTCTACGATCATTTTGGTTGTTACAAATATTTGATTGACATAATATGCACGGTTCACTAGCGATACGTCCATTTAATTCCATACATATGGAATTCTCTTGATTGATTTATGTAAACTATAAT